GGTGGGCTGGTGAACTCCCACACACCTGCGTGGCTTCAGGGTCCTGCACTGAACCACTCACCCCACTACCAAATGCATTTTGGAAAAACAAAGCAAGTGCCCAAAACAAACAAATACCTTAGCATTCTCTTTACCTCACACCACTGCGTGAACGAAGCTGACTTCCTGTGGTTATCCTTATCCGGAGGGACTGATTACAGAGCCCAGAGTCATTTGCCTGAAGATAATTGCCTCAATTCTCCACTTCACTTTGCACATATAGCAACAGTCCCAATCTACCGGAGCCTCAGTGACTAGACATGTGAAATTGGTCTAATCATATTTTGAAGAGCTCAAGCTGAAAGGATTTCTATGAGCTTGTGCCTGAACCATGACACCACTAAGGCTTTCTCCCCCCACGTCTGAAGGGTGAGTCAGAGCCTCAGCGGAGGAGAGAAAAACAGCTTTGAGGCCCTCTGTCAGTGCCGCTGGCGGAGGAAAAGGTGGGATGACCAGGAGAGCTGGACAAAAGCTACAGCCGTGAGCCTAGGGACTGAGCGTTGAGTCATCCTTCGTAGCCAGCCGTGCTTTCACCCGTAGCCCCCAGCTACCGGAGGAAGCTGTACGCAGAGCACAGGGGGGCATCTGAGATAATGCCCTGGGCTTCGGGCACCTCTGGACACTGATGTCTCAGCTGACCATGGCAATGAGCCGGATAGTTGGAGAGGAAATTTGGGCTAGGCAGACAGACAGATCTCTATGCCCACTTATGGACAGGACAAAGCCAGGCAAAGGGTCAGAGTCCAGAGCGTAAGCCAGGGGCCACATGAAAGCAGAGAATGGAGACAGCATGCCCAAGGAGGATCTGATGCCCCAATTTATGCTTTGCCCGAGGAATTTTTCCAGAAGCTTCCCGGTGGGCCAATAGCCTAGAAACTGCTCCCCCTGACAGAGAGAGGGAGGGGGAACCTGATGGAGGCGTGCTGAGAGGAAGGTAAGGCCCTCCTGAAAAGGACACTGCTAACGCTGTGGACTCGGGAATCAGCTCCATGTACGACCCCATCTCCTTTTCAAATGAAGGGCACAGACAGACTATTGTCATCCCAACAATGGCCCCCACAGACCCAGTCATGTCAGAAGACCGTTACTGCCCCCGAGGTTTGCTTTTGGCTTTAGATGGCATTCCCTCAAAATCGCGACATCAGCTCAGGGTTGTCACCATTTCTACTGGGGGGAGCCTGCCGCCATCAGTGCCCTGTGAACAACGGCGAGGCAGCATCCCAGAAACGAGCCACATGTGCCTGAGCTGTCCCCAGAGCGGAGGGGGGGGGCGAGTGCCAGGCAGTGGGAGCTCGTTCCTGCCCCAGGGAAAGCTGGAAAAGCTCTCGTCTCCCGGTGGTCCTTCCCAATGACTGCGAGCACGCCTTTCACGTGGATCTCGTCTCAGAGGATGTGCTGGCGTCCTCGGACCTGTGGCCAGGCCAGGCAGGCCTTTAGAGAACTGGCGCCTCATCTGTCTCGCCCTGAGCGACCACAGGGCTTCACACAGGGCAGTCATACGGGGAGGCAAGCAATATCCCCACAAACGTTTAAAAGGAAAATCTCCAAATCAGACCACACCTTTCAGAGACCCCAGAGGAGCTCTCCCGCTGGCCGTGGCCCCATCGCCGCCATCGGGCCCACCGGCCCTCCTGGGTCACGCCGCGGCCGTGGGTGCACGACTTGGCACCTGTCGGCGATCCCTTTTGAGTATTGGGACACTTCACCCTGACCTGCGCGTTACGCTGTGGGGGACGGTTGTTCCCTCGCCACTACAACTCCCACAATGTCCGGAATAGGGTCCTGGTCTCAGAAGTGACTCAATGCATGACTGCTGAACAGCCAGGATAATCTTTAATTTCCAAGCCCTCTCCTGGTGGGGAGGCAAGAGGACTGACATAAGGAACAGACTTGTCTCATTTCTTGCTCCAACCAGTGAGTCTGGCCCGGCTGTGGAAGCTCACAGCACACACCTGTTTGCTCGTGACCTGAAACGCCACCCGCGCATTCCTTCCCGTCGCCGAGCCACCGCTCTCTCCGGCTTCCAAAATAGAAGCGGAGCCGAGGAGCCCCCAGCCTGTCTCCAGGGCCTCACATGCCTTTCGTGCAACGAGAACCTGGGCTGCATCGGCTTCCAGCTTTCTCGGCTCATGAGTCCCACGGAAAACATCTCCAATATGCGGTCATCTGTCCTCTGATTTAAGACTGCTCCTGACAGAGAGCCAGCCACCGCCTGACAACAGAGCCCTGATTGTTAGACTATTCCTCCTTGGACTGGGCTGAGGTCTGTCTGTTTTAACTACCACCCATCAGTTCTAATTTAGTCTCTGGAGTCACACAAAACACATCTTAATGCCCTGTCCACAGGACAATCCTTGAAGGGACTGAAGACAACATTCTTCAAATTCATCCAAATAAGCACCCGACTGTAGGGCCCGGGGGACACTGGGAACCGGCGCCGTCCTGTCCAACAGGTCCAGCCCCGCCCGCACGCCTGCAGGTGATAGATGTCCGCACTTCATTCGCCGGCAGACAGATACAGCCCTTGTTCCTCAGCCTGCTAACAAGCCGGGGTCGTCCATCACCCGCTTGCTCCTTTTTGAAATTCACTCTGCAGCAAGCACTTTTAAAGCCAGGCACGCAATGCATTTTAAAGAGCATCTCCGCACAGACCCATTTGCTCGGCCTCGGCCCGAGCGGGAGGATCGGCGCTCCTCCGGGAGCCGTGGCGGCTGGGCACCGCAAGCATCTGGGGCTGGATGGAGAGTGCCCGTCGATTCAACATCCGTTTGTCGGTTAAAATGAATCTTGCAAAGAACGTGCATTACTAACGCAAAATCAAATCCAAAAATATGTATTATGTAATGCACATTTTAAGAAATGCAGGCAGTCTGTGTGCTTGTGAGCGGACCAGCTCTGGGCTGCCATCTCCGTTACAGCATAAAGCACTCCTTCCAAAAGACAGCGCTTCCACGCACCCACACTACCGAACCGCAACCCACACCGTCGCCGACAGTGGGTGTTCCCCTCCATTCAAAGGGCATCCGCCAGCACCCAGGTTCCCGGTTCTTCCCCCAGGGTGCCCCGAAACCCAGCGAACAACGTCTGCATGTGCCTACACTGTCAACGGGCTGCGCTCACTGAGAGAAACAAAGCCGGCAGGTCACTGTGAGCAGAGCCTTGAAAACAACCCCTCGTGGCGGAGCAATCACGACTTGAGATGTCCCATAACAACATCCACACGGTGACGGGAGCCATCCAGCAACTTGTGACAATAAAGCCTATTCCAGGCTCTCCAGGAGGTGTTAGAGTGCGGCACGGCTAGAATACGGACGTTAGCCTTTTATGGGGTCTGCCAAATCAATCCCACTTTATTAGACCAATCAGCATCTTAATGCTGCAAACTAACTGGAAGAACACAAGATGTAAGAGAGAGACACAGCCAAGAAGCCAGTCAGGAACATTCAAGACGGCGGCATCCAAGATGCAGACACTGAACCTCAATGCCTCCAAAGCAGCAGCTGGAATCTCATTAGGGCCTCACCTCTGGCTTGCTGGTCTTCATATGGGCGCGGTGCTGTTCTTCAGAGGGCGAATCCCACCTGTAGGGCGCACGGCTCTCCAGGAGGGCCGCCAGGGGGGCGAAAAGGGAAAAGCAGAGTTTTAGGGGGCTGTGGCCCTCTAAGCGTTCCCCATGTTGGCTCAAACACAAAGAAACGTGTCCCGAGTGAAGCCCCTTGCTAATGAATGCCTCTCTGGGCGCTGGGAGGGGCTTGGCCGTGGCTTCCCCACCTTCGGTCTTGTTACAATGGCCAAGGGCCCCGGCGCCGGGCTGCAGACGGAGCTCCAGAGCTCCCGCAGGACCGCGCTCCTGAGCACGGACCACCCACCCCAGGGCTCCCGGAGGACCTGTGCTCATTGGACTCTCCGGGGCCGAGAAAGAGGCTAACTTCCTCCAACGTCTTAGCCTTTGAGCTCCGACAACGTGCTCCAGGGACATTAGCTGAACCCTCGATCTAATGCTCTGGCTGAGCCAATCGTTTCCCACCAGGCTGGTGGGTAAGATGTTCTGAGTGGTTTGATGCTCTGATTCACAGCAGATTAATTCGAAATATCCTTTCCTTAATCTAAGACTTTTTTTCTCTTGTCTTTTTTTTTTAACTTTACCTTCAGCACCTAGAACAGAGATTGCCACTCAATAAATGTTTGTTGAATGAATGAATTTTGTTGAAAAACTATGAGTTTTAAGGAATAACCAATGAGGTTTCCAACACCCTGAGTCGCCGCCGCCCCCATGCCCCAGAGGGCACGTTTGGTTGTGCCTACTGCTTCTCAGGGCAGCAAAGACTGCAGGGAAGAGGTGGTTCTAGCAGATCCAAGTCTGCCTTCGGCCACGTTCTCCGCTAGAGCTCCTCCAGGAGCACCCTGGGCTTGAGAACATCACTGCTCCATGGAGACCCTTCCTAAGCAAGTAATTAGCAGATTGAGACTCAGGGCATGGGAGGGGGTGTCTGGGGGACACTTCTTCCATTACAGTCACTATAACAGCTCTGTCAACGGTGGTTTCATGATTAATGACTGCCTGAGATTACCATCCTCAAATTATTAAGCCCTTGGAAAATGCCCGGGCAGGATCATTAATACTGCTGTCCAGACCCTCATTTCCCCTGAATGTCTGCAAATCTGAGGTTTAGTTTGAGCTGCTTCCGGCTTTGTTCATTTTAAGGATAACACTGGAGAAGTTGGGGAGAGGATGTGAACCCCATGGAGAACCCATGCCCAGCTGCTAACCTGTGGCTCCATTGCTTGCTCCTTGGCACCCGCCACCCCGCCCCCTTGCTTCCCCCAAATCCTCTCAAACAAGGTTCCCTCCTGCCACCTGCCGGCCCACTAGGGTCTGCGCCACAGACTCAACGCCGCGCGCGCAGCTCGCGGGGAGGCGCCCCCACCGCCCTACTGCACATGCCCGGCAGAAGTCCGGGCGCGCAACTTTGCAGAACCTCTCCAGCAGCTCTCCGCGCCTCAGTCTCCTCTCTCCTCTCCCAGAGAGAGGATCTGCGGAGGCACCTCCCCGGGTCTTAGACCGCAGAGTCTGAGACTTCGGGAGAGGAGCCTAGGAGGAGACGGGCTTTCCCCCAGCCCTTCCTTTTGCTCAGAGCGGCGAGAAGAGGCGCGGAGCTTTAGAAAGTTGGGTGGTCGCAGCGGTAGGTGCTTCCCTTTTTGCCCTTACACCGAGGTGGGGCTGGGACCGCCAGACCCACGTTCCCACCTCGTAAGGTGCACCTTTTCCGGCTCCCGCGGCCAATGCGCACCGGAGCCGCTCTCTGCAGAGAGCGGACCAGCTTCTTGGTGCGCGCCTAAGAGGATGGATCGCAGGTCCCGGTCTCACTGGCGCCGAGCTCGCCACAATTACAACGACCTGTGCCCACCCATTGGCCGCCGAGCAGCCACTGCGCTCCTCTGGCTCTCCTGCTCCATCGCGCTCCTCCGCGCCCTCGCCACCTCCAACTCCCGCGCCCAGCGCGCGGCTGCCCGCCGCACCTTCCTCAACGCCCACCACCGCTCCGCCGCGCCGGTGGCCCCCGAGCCCCCCAATTCGGAATCGGATCCCGAGGAGCCAGAGCAAGAGGTGTCCCGCCCCGAGTGCCCTGGCTACGAGCAAGGGTTCAACTACGAATCTGAGACCGAGTCCGAATCTGATCTTGAGTCTGACATCGACTTCGACACCGAGACGGAGACCGCCCCCACCACTGAGCCCGAGACCGAGCCCGAGGACGAGCGCGGCCCCGTGGTGCCCATCCAGAACGCCTTCGCCCAGTCCCTCACCCAGCGCCTCCAGGCTCTGCGGGTGCGCAGCCCCGACGCCTCCCCGAATCGCGCCCAGCCCCGCCGCCGCCCGGAGCCCCGCAGCCCTCGCGAGGGGGAGGAGCCTCAGCCCGCGCCCCGGGCTGCGCGGGACCCCGAAGAGTCTCAGAAGCCCAAGAAGGAGCAGCAGCAGCAGCGCGGCGGCTGCAAGCCCAAGAAGCCCACCCGCCGAGACCAATCTCCGCGGTCCCCTCCCAGACGGGGACCCATCCCCATCCGGCGTTTCTAATGGAGGACTCTGTCCAGATTCTCCTTGTTTTCTTTGGTCCAGGTAGGTTGCCCACCGGGGAACTGGGGGGCCGGGGTGGGCGCGGGAGCAGCGGGAAGAGGGAGAAGGAATGCAGGTTAGGAGGAAGGCGGGAAGATAGCGGGCTCGGCTAGCCAGGCGGGGAGGTGGGCGGCCGGGAGGGCTGGGAAGGGCTCCGCAAACCTCGCCAAGGCGCTCAGGTGGCCAAAGGGTTGTTAGAAGGCGGTGCTCCTTGCACCCCGCTGGAGACAGCCTGAGGTCTCCGAGAGCTGGGAAGGGCTCCCCAAGGCGCCGGAGGGCGCCCGGATGGCCAAAGGCTTTAGACGGTCGGTGCTTCTGGCACCCCGCTGGAGACAACCTGAGATCCCCGAGAGCTGGGAAGGGCTCCCCAAACCTCCCCAAGGCGCCGGAGGGCGCCCGGTTGGCCAAAGGCTTGTTAGACGGTGGGTGCACCCCGCTAGAGACAGCCTGAGGTCCCCGAGAACTGGGAAGGGCTCCCCAAGTCTCCCCAAGGCGCCGGAGGGCGCCCGGTTGGCCAAAGGCTTGTCAGACCGCGGGCGCACCTGGCGCCCGGCTGGAGACAACCTGAGGTCTCCAGGAAGCGCGACTGGATCCCGGAGCGCCCCAGACTTCTCACTGCACACCCTAAAGGACAGGTAAGCGACTCGTTTTCTGCGCTTTCTTCCTCCTAGAGACTAATCTCAGCCCAGGTGGCTTTAGCGGCGCCGGATGTGTGGTTCCGTGCGCGCGGGCCAGCCCTCACGGCGGAGCGGCCGCGGGTTGCAAAGCGCGGAAGGAGCCAGCGGGCTGGCGGGCGCCCGCGGACCGCCGCCGCGGGATAGGCGCGCCGCGCCATGGACACTCGGGGCCAGGAGTCCGGGTCCCGGGGCTGCCAACTTGGATCCTTGGTGCCAGTGCCCCGCGAGGCTGGTCGCCAGGTCGCCAGCCCTGGCCGCGCCGCTCATCTCCGCGCGCTCGCGGGGCGGGAGGCCGCCGCAAAGAGCGTGCGCACCTGCCCGGGCGCCCAAGAGCCGGCTTCCCAGAGCGGCGGGCGGCCTCCCAGCCCAATACCGGTGCTTGGGGGTCAGGCGGAGAAGGTAGAGGCGTCTTGGGGGCTGCCTGGCTACCAGGATTGGTGGCGCGGGCTTGGTCACGTCGGGGTATCGCTTACCCTTTGGCGCAGCGGTTCCGGAGGCGGAGCCGGGCGGCCGCCTGGAGAGGTCCCGGGCCGTTGCGCAAGGCGGAGAGAGGGCGGAGAGCCCCGCGAGGTGTTCCCTGCGGAAGGTAAAGAGGTCAGGAAACGGCCGGTGCAGGGGTTCGCACTGATCATCAGAATCCTCTAGAAAGAGTCCCCAAAGAGCGCGGCATCCGCCGGGCTGGGGAAAGGTTTTTGGAACCGAGGCAAGTGTTTGGGCGGCCGGCCGGGCGGGGAAGGGGCCGGCGGCTCCGGCGGCTCGGGGCGGGGACGCGGCGCACACCGGCCATTTTCGGCTCGGCGGAGCCAAGTTTGCAGGCTAACCTGGAGGTGAAAGTGCCCGGTGCCAGAGCGCTTCACTGGCCGCGGTCCGGTCACACAGCGTCGGTGCGGAGTGTCCCTTCCTTGCCAGTCCTGGGGGAAAAGACCGATGAGTGAAATGTTTGCAAACCTCTCCCGACTTGGAAACTGATCTTTTCTTCGTGCGCGCGCGCGTCTCGTTTTCAGGTGTCGGTTTGAACTCTAATGATGGGAATGATTTGGGGGATAGGTGAAGCGTTTGGAGGGTTCTTAGCCCCCTGGCGAAAAGGAGGCGGCCAGAGGGAACACACTTCCAGGGGTCTTCGCTCCAGGCCTCTTCCCCGGGGGCGGGGGCGCGGCGCGGGGACTTGGCTGTGCGCGGCTGCGGGCGCGGGCTAATGACCGGCGGCTGCGGTTGTGGTTTTCACCGGTAAATACCAGGCGGGCAATTTGTCCACCAGGGGCTTCCCCGTGTCGGAAGCCTGGAGGCGGCTGTGTACTTACAGGAGGGGGCGGGGGGGGGGGGCCTACGGTCCTCGAAAGAGTGGACTTGCCTGAGTGAAAAGGAAGATCCCTAAGCCTGACATTCCTGCTTACACAGTGGTGCGTTAACGCCATTTCTGTGGCTTTAAGCGTTGTTTTCCCTTTGGGAGAGTCTGAGCAGCCTGAGCTCCCTGAGGAAAAGGGCTCCGGGAACAAGGCTGGGGCCCCGCTTGGCTTCGGGCAAGGTTTGCAGTGGGGAGCTGTTTTCATAGATTGGGCATCTGGGTCTTCCAGGTTTTCTGCAGAGTATGTTGCGTTGACTTGTTGCAGGTTGAATGAACAGAGTTTTAAAAAGTTCTCGGTGCCCAACCCATCCCTCCATCCCTAGTCTTAGTCTGCTTTTCTGTGTGTGTGTGTGTTTTAAACATTAAACAGAAAGTCTGCATTTGGGGTGCTGGCTTTCTTAACCTAAGCTATATACAGATTCATGATTGGGGTGTCCCCATCTCATCTAGGAACACACAAATAGTTTTGCCATCTTCTAGACTCCTTTTTACAAACTGTGAAAGCCTGTTACCCACCCCCACACTTCCTTCACCCATCTCCCCTCCCCAACTTCCTCCTGCCATCCTGGCTCCAGGGTGCCAAGGCCATTAGGGACCACACACAACTGAGGAGTATGCCAAACTCCTGGGAAAGCACCCAGTGCCCCCCGAGGAGAGGGGACTTAGCTACATAGGCAGGCAAACACTCTACCTGAGCCCCTTGGGGTCAGCTAGCTGCCTTTCTTTTCTAGATGTTTCTGGCAAGTTCTCCAAGCATTCCCAATTCAACAGCCTCCCAACCGCCCTTTGTCTCACCCAGCTACAGGGCACTTAGCATTTGAATGGGCTTGCTTGCCCTTTCAACTCAGGTGGGGCCAGGGTGTGAGGAAATTCCCCAAAGGTCACACCTAGTCGACCACACAGGTGCATTACCAGCCAGAAGCAATATTTCAGGGGGTAGAGGGGGAGGAGGAGAACAGTTAGTTATATTGATGGTATGCGCCAATATCTGGTGTGTTGTTTTTTTTTCCTTTACTACATTAATCATTTGCTTAATGGAAATTTGCTTTTTTTTTTTTTTTTTTTTTTTTTTAATAAAGCTGCTCTTACAACTTTCCAAGTTGGAAAATCATGTAGATATGTTCAAATTTTGTGTGGTACCAACAGTCTGTTGTGGGCTTACTTCTAAAAGTTTGGCAACTTTTCATCTGTTTATCAGAATTCATGAATTGGGAATTTTAAAGTTTGGAATTGTGTAATAATGTTTCTTTAATGAGCTTGAAGTTCTGCCCTGCCCCACTCCTTGCCCCTCCCCCTCCCAATTGCTTACAGCCCTTTGACTCTTTAGCCCTGGATTTTAGCAGCTGTGATAGAAGTTTAATGAAGAAAATGGAAACTTCAGTGTAAGAGTGAGGTCTTTTTTAAAGAACTGCATGAGTTTTTCTTAATATATTTGAATATCGCTGCTCTTCACGCAGAGGGAAGCTATTGAGAGGACACAGAAAGCACGGTGGTGGGGAAAGCATGTCTCTTAGCAGAAAACAAATCACTAAAATCAAATGAAGCTTCCAGAAGTGAGTGACGTCACAGCCCAGCAAAGGGGATGAGTCCTTAATCCCCAGGTTCCAGAATGAGGGATGAATGCCTCGCCCTGCTCTTCAGGGTTTGACATTGTACCTCTTTCCTGCATCCTGGTGCTCGGAGCCGGGCAATGTGATCTAAGGTCTGAGCACTGGTCCCAGCCTGCCTACCTGGTTCAGCCGCAGCACCCCTCTGCCTCAGTTTCTTCACAGGGAAAGAGAAATCTCTGAAGATGTTTCCAGCATCCCTTTCAGCAGAGTCCCCCAGTTTGACTCTGTCAATCATTTTAATACTAAATGGAACAAAAATTTTTTTCAATGTTTGATCAAAACAAAAGCACCAGTTGTGAAGAAATCTGTGTTGTGGTCATCTTACTTGAGTTTGTCAAATCTGTTTGAACTGGTGGCAAAATGGTTTAAAGAGGTGAGTTAGAGCACACAGAATCCCACGGTGTCCCATGACTAACCTATGAGAAAAGTGGGCACATGTTAGGTGTTGGTCTGATGTGTGCTTGTCTCCCTCCCTCCTTGTATCTGAGAACAAGCCTTTCAGAGGGGGGACAGGGTATGGTTCAGCAGACAGATAGCCACGCTGACCACCAGGCTTAACTAGCCACAGGTGTGGAGCACATTCTTCAGTAACACCTCTGAGTCCTAATCAGGCTAGGCCTGCAAATCCAGCTCCGAAGCTGCAGCTGGTTAGGCTAAACCAATTTTCTCAACCTTTTTCTTTTTCATTATCACTCCCTCCCAGGAGGTGTTTCAGACATTTCTTCCTAATTTCGCCTTTCCCATGAAATTTAGTACACACACATACTTCCATATGCTGTTCTGTTTGCTTCTGTTCTGCAGAAGCTGGTAATGACTAAGATATTTGCACTGCCCCGAACCAATTCCGCCTCTATTACCAATGCATGGGGTAAGCCAAGAAAGTGTTTTTAAAAACTGGTTATGTCAAATTAAGTAATTCAACATTTCATTTTTGTTTTCTATTTAACTTTTTTTTTTTTTTTTTTTCTACATATTACAAAGCTACACAGAAGGTGAAATTTACCGATGCTTGTTTTCCCTTGTTAAATCTTTTGTTTTTTTCCCCAAAGCCCTTGTACAGATGCTGGTACTGGTGCCTAGAGAATTCACAGGCAGAGGAGCCAGATTAAGCAGCCTAGTGACAGTCCTCCCGAGACCACGAGTTGACAGCACTCCGCCCACAGAGACAGGGCATCCGAGGAGTCATGCCACCTGCATGCCAGCTTGCCAGCTCCCTATCCCAGGGCAGACTTGGCTCCTTGCTGGCTGTGTGTGGACATGGCAGCTCCTATTCTCTGGGCTTATTTAGGATGAGCATGCTGCAAGTGTACAGCTATCAGAAAGGCCAGAGGGAATAAGATGGCTTCGTGGACAGAGAGACTGGGTGATGGC